TTTGGTTTGCTTTTAATCAGAAGCATAATATTACTGAGAATCACCAGGTGGCATTGCTGCAGATAATTTTGGTATTTCTGTTTACATGAGTGTACAGGAGTTTATCTTGAGAAAATACTTATTACAAACTAGTGCAGAGTTTTTCTCAAGTGTTGATTTTACTGCTTAAGCTCAGTTACACAGGCAAGATTTTTAAATTAAACATATGCAGTCTCAACTCTATCCTTGCATCCACATGTACCAATGCTTGTGCTCTAAACGTCATAACGTTAGTTTGCGTTATTGCAAAGGAAGGTGCAAGGCTACACAGGGAAGGTTTAGCAACATGACCGGCAAAGTTTTCCTACATTGTACAAGTCAGACACAAGCAATGGGGGATGAAGATGGTCTTTACGGCACTTTAGAATTTCATTGTTTTCTAATTACTGTATTCTTTTAGTACAAGGAAGTGATTTAAAGACTTTAACTTCTTAAAGAGATAACTTATTTAGTGACTGTTTGAATCTATTGACTGAAGAGTTTCAGTTACAGAGACTGCATCTGCAAATAACCTGCGATCAAACTATGTCATAGCTCACACCTCATTAAACTCCTCTGAAGAGGCTGAACGACACGGACAATGATTTTTAGTGCACATGATGGTGCACAGCATATGGCAGCATTTCAGAGCTGCTGTAAGTCCGGCCTTGCTACTCTCCCTGAGCCCCTCTGCTCCAGGACACAAAACCCTGCAGCCTGCTCGGATGCGGGTGCAAACAGCCCCATGGGATCAGGGACTGGGGTCCAGCTGCCTCCGATCCATACAGAAACCCAGGCTGCTTCTTCCCTTCATGAGCAAATACGAATGTAAATGAAGAATTCTTGCCACCTTTTTAACTTCAAGTGTGGAGTATTTTAAAAATGACAGACTGTGGTGAAAAAATATATCCTAAAAATATTTAAAAAATTCCATGCTTGGCTAGCCTCCTCCAAAAACTTATGACTTGATGGATTCTCATTCTTCACTAGAAAATCATCAATTCGTAACAAAAAAAAAAACAAAACTAAAAACATAAAAAACCCAGAAAAATGAGAAGGTTCAGTGAAACAAACCGTATCGAAACAAGAGTTCAGTTTATCTACTTGAAATAATTTTTGCTATTAAAACAATAATTTATGTAAATGAATAAAATCAGTGGAAGAAAAAAACATGTCAAACATCTAAACAAAACATTCCAAAATCAGACAACCAAAAGATGACTAGTTCATGAATGTTTCCGAGATTTTGATTTTTTCCCCTCTGTGATTTGGGTCTAAAATGTCTGACTCTTGAAAGCTTCTGATGGACAGCAAAATTATTTCTTGAAACACTTTCTACCCTGCATCTCACGTCTGCTCTCCTCAAATCTATCTATTAAGTTATATCAGTACAGTCTCACAGGAAATTTTACTAACCTAATATCACTATATTCCAACCTAACTTCATTGACTAAGGCCCCTGCAACACTTAACACCACTATTATACATATCACAATTCATAGTTTAATACTCTATACATGATCATTCTTACATCTATTTATGTGACGCTTAATACAGTGTTATCCAGAAAAAGCACAATTTCAATCACTAATGATAATATTTACCTCTACCAGCTCAGTTCTTATTCATAGCTACACATCATTTAATAGGGATGTAGTTAAGTACAGTCTAAGTGGGACATTGGTTTGTTTGTTAGGCTTTCGGTTTCACAATTTTTCTTAGTTTTCCAGGCATGATAAAGTTACAACGTGGCACTTATTTCCCAAATGCCTCTATTTCCATATAAAAGGGTAAAATCATGTTAACTCTTCTTCATTTAAAAATTTTTTGTTTAAAAACATGGATAAAACATCATTCGATGTACAAAATTCTCTTAAGAGCAAAGAACTCTCCTGCCAGAAAATCTGCAGAAACCCTTTCACTTTGGTGATGTTACGACTTTTTCCCACGCACAGTATAGCATGTAATCTTTTCCATGAAAACAAGTTTGTTTCTACACTGCCATTTTTAAACTCAGGCTAGGTTTTAGCTAGGTACAGTGCACCTCACAGTGTCGCCACAATAGCACTAAAACCAACAGAGGATGCAAAGGCATCAGCCGGGCAGTTCTCTCTGCTGAGCTCGCTGCTACAACTACTGCATTAGTGTCGCACTTCAGCTAGATTTAGTCCATCCTCAGGAATTAACAGCTTCTTTGGCAGAGATGCATTCCTAATTTCAGAACTAAACCTCCAATGCTACGTGGCAAGAAGAAATTAAAACCTGAGGCTGCAACTACAGGCTAATAGGCAGAAGTATGTATGATTATGTCCATAATACTTAATATTTTTATCTAGACTCCCTGGAAGGCTGTGGATCGTTGCTCTAGAGAAATAAATTTGAGTCCAGAGGACCGGTAGCTCTCTCTTTGTCTTTTCCATCTCCATCACCACAGTGTTTTCCTGGGCTTCCAGCAGTCAGAGAAATTCCCACTTTCAATGTATGATCACCGCTTTGTTTATTAGTGATTAAGAAGCCAGATCACTGAGGAAATAACTAATGTTGTTGATGTAAGGAATTTTCCTCGGCTGAACAGGTGGGGGTGTTTTGGAAAAAAGGATAGCGCTCTAGTTTGGGGATGTTTAAATATGTAGTTTAGATCAATAACTGCATCTTATGTCTGCCCCCCCAAAACATCTGAAACAACACCTAAGTAGAAATAAGTCTGAGGTACCTTTCTCCTTTCTTCATATCTGTCTTATTATTGTCCCATTCCCCATTTTATAGAGCCCTATATTAATAGAAACCATCAAAGATGCCTTTTGTGTTATTGCTTCTCTTTTACAAGCCAGCCACATGCAACCACAGGGGAATCAATATAGATGCTTTTGGATGGAATTAATTCAGCTCTAATCCCCAAACAGACACCAGTATGTAAATCAGGTAGTAAGAGAGACAAGTTGTCTCAAACGCTATCAACGCAAGGGGTGGACCCTCAGGAGCCCAAGAACTAAAAAAAGTGAGAAATCTAACTCAGTAAAATTCCTATAACAGCAGAGAAAATAGATACCCACAGCGGTCTTTAAATGCCTCTACCGATGTCCAGAAAGAGGGCTGCAAATCATTCCTCTGCCAAGATCTTCAAGTGCTGATTACAGAAGCAGTAACCTGAGGTAGACCCACTGGATTGAGTTTTCAATAACATGGCCTTGTTCATATGATTTTTTTAATAAAGCCAGCTACCCAAAGAAGGGACCAGGCTGTTTGTGACCGTATTACAAAAAAGGAGCATGAACAAGAGGCAGTCTACAGTAAAAGATTTTTTTCTTATGGACTTGCAAGCGTTTTGGGCTGATATATACAGGCACCCTTCTCCACTCATACACCATCATCCCCAAACAGATACACCATTCTTCTAAGTGACAGAAACATCCTCTAATATAAAGATGATTAAAAAATAGACATTCTCCTCTGGATTAATGCTTACAGTTACTTTTATGAAGGAAAAGTATTAACAGAGCCATTCTCAAAGGAACTGAAAACCCACTCAGATGTCCAAGGCAATCTAACAAAGGCAAACACAGACTGAAAACTCCCCGAAAACTCCCATTCTTCAGAATTTGCCTCACAACACACTCGACACAAGCTAATACCATATGATGAACTAATAAGCACTTTATGTAAATCCTGTCTTTGTGGTGCGATACAAACCCAGTATGTACACAACAGCTGCTTTTACAGTAGAAATTTTGTCACACGAATACTGTTTCTTAATGGTCAGTGATTTAAACGAGAATTTCACCACAGCATTTGTTCAAGATGCTGTGATGTTTGTGATGTATTGCCACTGTATTTCCCACCTTCAGTATTTACACTTGTGGCTTTTAAAAAAATCATGAATTAAGCAGAACGTTTCTGGTAAAAGGCCTAAAAGTGTCTTTTGATGAAATAATTCAATTGATAAGAGACTTTATAAAAAGAGTGGAGTGAGAGATAGGGAACTTACAATGTACGAACAACTGCACCTGTGAGACAACACGCACGTACAAAATTTAGAGGCAAAAATATAGAAGACAGAAAACAGAAATTAAAGAGCCTGGAAAAGAGATGGTAGGTATAGTGAAATACTTGTAATAGCCTGAATAGTAAGTGAAGCTTGTGTAAAGCAGTGGAACAGGTGTGGAGAAGTCAAAAGAGGCCCTCTCTCATTTCCTCACAGAAAACAGTACGCAATGTGATATGCTTTCCTGAATGAACGTATGAAAAGGTGGATTTGGATTTTAGTTTCCAACCTGCTTGTTCTTCCCCTTAAGCCTTAATTTTAGTTGCAGTATCTAGAATTCATTAGGGTTTTCCTCTTTTTCCCCCCTCTAAAAAGCAACCTCAAACATTAAAAGAAGAGATTCAAAGCAAGGTTTGTAAGTCTCATATATTTAGACTCAAACCTCTCTCTCTTGCAAGGCTTGAATAGTTCGAACTGTAGGAGTAACAGCAGGATGTGAACATGCACGTTTTGACCTGCAGACCTCCTCCCTCCTTTCCTCCCCTCTCCAAGATGCACCCTGGAGCGCTGCAGCAATCTCGCTGAACCATCCATCAACACATCTAGTAACTTCCAACTTTTCAAAAGGACAAAGTGGAGCAGTTCACAAGGACAAATCCTGCAGAGGGCCCCTCCTCAGCTGCTAACAATTAGCAGATCTCCCGGCCCAGGGTCTTCGCTTCCAGCCTTGCTAAACTGAGACTGCTCCTCTGGGAACAGGAGCAAGAGGAGATACAACCTCTGGCTTCTCTTCCATGTGTTCCTGTCCCCGAATGAGCTAGCTTGAACACAGGAGGCATCACAGCTGCATCAGCTTGGGCCTGTGCCTGCTTTTAGGCAGACTAGTCCATCCAGCTCCCTTCTCCAGCTGTGTAAGGAGGCACTGCTGCTAAGCAGACAGAGCAACTTGTTTGGAGGCAACCTGGGGCTCTCCCCCAGGGTTCCTCTTGTTGTTACTCACCAGTACTGCTCTGGATGGTCCTCACCGTCGTGGTTGTACGCGGGGGAGACGAGGATCGCAGCGATATGCACTCATCGTCCTGGGAGCAGCCCTTCTCAATGGCCCTCACATAGCTGTGGCTCCTCATGCGGAAACAGCCAGGCATCGGCAGGTCCAGGGCCTCCACGGCCTGAGACTCGAGTTCACTGAACACCGACTCACAGACGGACTCAAACTGCCCATTCACCTCCATCTCACTCACCTGCAGGCAAAGATCAGGCAGGTTCAGTACATCCCACAGAGCAGTCTATCCTGTATTAACACTCAAAAGCAACAGCAGGAGTTGAACTTCAGGCCATTATGTACATTATGCTGAAAAACAAAATCACACATTTTTTAGGAAGGAAAAAAAAGTGTGTGGGGGGGGGCGTCTTAACCCTGAGCTACACAATGCAACCCACAAGCAATTGGAGTGATAAAACCGCGGGGCTGGGAAGCTCAAGTGTGGAAGCGGTAACACACAGTTGAAAGGGCTCCACTGGTAACTGAACCAGCTTTGCTACAGAGGGGAAAATGTTTGTGCAACTACATCTCCCGGCTAACTCCGTCAGCTGAGAGATGTAGGAATCCTTAGACCCTTTGATGAGCAGACACTAGGTGGTGACAAAGACTCGCAGCCACCCAGGTTAAAGAACATTCAAAAGCTCGTGGCTTTGCTGCAGATCTTACGAACCTGGAAACCGTCTGCCCTTGCTTATGTGGTAATGGATGCTCATGGTTCTGAACTCGGACTTCAGCCCAGAGCTTGGCGTTAAAGCATAACAAGTTGCACCGCAGGAAACACGCACACAGAAACCTTCGTAGGAGAGTTTTGTTATTTTTCTGGCATGCAAAAGGCTGAAATACCAGGAAAAGATAAGATTGTGTTGTGAGGGCAAAAGAAGACACTAAAATGTCTATTCCAGGTTGGATTTCAGTAAGGAAAACACAATTCTGTGCGCTTGGATGCATATCTGAGAAGGGAAATCTAAAAGGGTAGAAACTTCTCAAAGCAGCATGGAAAAGCAGTGGATAGTATATCCATAAAGAGCAATCTGCAGTAGCAGAGGACAGCCATATCTCAAAATTAATACCTTTCTCACTTAATGCTAAAAAAAAAAAACAAAAAACAAACCAAAACCCACACACACACACACAAACAACCCCTCCTCCACGCACTTTTTATTCGCATTGGCAAGTGAGGCTCAGTCTTTGGCAGACAGCTTTGTCGAAGTGTTAGATGCCCAGTAACCTAACCTAAAGTTCGTGTAGCTGCACCTGAGACTAGCATTTTAGTGCTGTTTCCACCCAGACGCATCCTAACCCACTTTCTGTAACATCAGTCCATACGCTATGCAAAGTGCCCCTCTCTGTAACAAAGAGGTGGCTACTCTGAAGATGCAATACCTAAATCCTGAATACTGCAGAAGTTTAAATTACGGCTTCGCTCTGAAGGGGAGATTTTTTTTTTTTTTTATGGTTATAGCTGAAATCCTGGCACTGCTAACGTCACACTCTCCTTTGGCATCCCAATGGTTTAAAAAGGCTGGTATTCTGTGCCACAAACCCCGTCTGCTGCACTCCTGGACTAGCAGAATAACTTTTTTTTTTTCCTCCGGGCGATTTATCTGACTGATCCACTTAAGCAAACAAGCCAAAATCATACCAGGAAGCTAGACAGACATAAGAACTGCAGCTGCAGGATTTAGCAGATGAGCTACTGGCCCCCTGCTTCTCCTCTGCCCCTATCTATTGCACCTGGAGTGGTGGTGCTTCTGCACTTGTGGCTGCATAGTCCCCCCATTCAGACCTGTTCCTGACCAGTTTGACTCTAAAAACAGGTTTTGTACACAGACAGGCTATTTTGTGATGTCAAAACTCCTAATCTGAATGCATCAAAGTGGGCTTTATTTTTCTTGAGGCTTTAAAGTCTTAGATAAATAATACAGACGTTTTCACCTTATATATATACTGCAATATTTGCATCACATAGGTGAAAAGTGCAGAGGTGCACAGAGTGAATAATAAAGAGACCTTTCAAAAGTACAATAAGACACTAATAAAAATTGTGAAATACAAAATACCACAGACTTCACTAATTTTCCTTTAGCATCACACTCTACTTATGAACTTAAAACACATCTTCATAGCTTCATAGGCATCTAGTGATTTCAGGTACTAAGCCCAAAAGCCTTAAGAGAACTCTATTCAAAGACACCGGTAAGCACCTGTCTTTGAAAAAAATTAGACTGCTCCTTCAGACACTGCATGTTGTGCTGCTCATCCATTTGCAAAGGGTAGATTATGGCACTATCAAATCTCACACTTTCACCAAGTTGCGTGAAAACATTTCGGTTTCCTAAAATGTTTTGAAAAAGTATAGTATATGCAACAGCCTGATTCCATTTTAAGAAAAAAAATATCCAAGTTTCTCCTTCTGCATGTCACACATATATCTGCTCTGGCCAGAGTCCAGTTTGGCCCTTGCTCTCCTGGCTACATGCGCGTGTCACCCACCTGACTAATGGTGCTCATGGCTCTCATGTAGCTCTCGTTCCGGGAGCGAAATTTGGGGGACGTCAGCAGCCCAGCAGGGTCCAGACTGTCCAGACTCCTGTTGATAGAGACTTCACTCACTGCCCGCAGGTAGCTGTGGCTCCGGATCTGAAGCTTTGGTGAGTGTTCACTGGATATCCTGGGGGTAAAGAAAGAAAGAAAAAAAAAAGTTTCATCAAATCCAAATGCCTTAGCTATGAGTGAGCATAACCAGATGTTTTTCTGTGAGACAAGACTTGAACTCGTGATGAAACAATCCTTGTATATTTATAAATTAAGGATACTGCCGGCCCACTTTTTTTATTTGCTTTACCTCACCTTTTTATTTGGTGGGACGAAAGGCTTGAGGGGAATTTTAAATTGTAAACTGTGCCTAAACAGAATGGCAAATTACTTCCATTGTATTTATTTATACTGTGAGCATGGCAAATTTTTACACTGTACTTACAGTAGCAGCTTCCAGCCCCAGCAAATAGTCTGCTATGTGCAACTTTTGAAGGAGTTACACCGAAATGGCTCCACGTTAGTCTTAAGAGCAAGGGGAGCCACTGAGGCGAGCGCAAATAGAAAGTGCTGCGTCCTCCTGGAGTTGAACACAGCAGCCATGAAAACAAGTTGAGGAGTGGGATTAAAAAAAAGAAAAAGAAAAAGAAACAGAGAGAGAGAGGCCTGAGAGCAAGACTGGCTCTAAACACATCCCCTGAACATCTACTTATTGAAATACAATTTGTAAGAGTTGCAGGGGCTCTATTCCTTTAAAGGTGCTTTTCTCTGAGAAAACCTGATGCTGATCGCATCAACACTATGAATCTGAAACTCTGTTATATATGTAATTGGGCTTCCTCTTATGGAGCTTTCAAGGATGTGATTTGATATCCAATTAGAAGCTTAAAAACCCAGTTGTGTTTCTGTAGTGATAACATCCCCCAGCTTTCCCAAACCAATGGCACATGAGACTGGCAAGTAGTTAAAACCAAACCAAAAAAAAAATCACGTAACTTGTACAGACTGTTCTCTTGCCAGATGTGCTTACAGTCAGCCTGCAAAGGCTACAAGACCTAGATACAACTCTCCACCTTACTGTGAGATGTTTTCTCCTCTTTAGCCTCCACAAACTAATCCTCCTAGAAAGTCAGACTCAGTCTGACTCATGGGAGTCAGAAAAAGTGATCCACACCATGCTTCTTTCACTATAACGTTAGTTTTGGGTATTCTTTTTTTCAAAACAATTAATGAATACATAAGTATTGAAAGGGTGGTTCGTCAATATTTTTATTGAAATATCTTTAATATTCTCCAAGTATTACAAAGCCAACCAATTACAATATTAACTCAAGTTCTCCATTTGGAAATATAAATCCCACATGGATGTTTGCATGTCTATGAAACATAAAAATCTGTAACCTAATTACAGATCTAATGTCGGTCCCTTAATGTCTAGAAATCCATACACAACAGATCTAAAGCAAGAGAATCCATTTTATGTCCAATTCCTCAAGCATTTGCAGATATTTTGTGTTCAGGTAGCTAACGATGACGATTAGTATGAGCGATCTCCTGATGGCATGCACAGTTCTGACAACCGCCAAGGTATTTTAGGAGGACAATTCCACTGTGTAATCGCACACCTAAGTAGTTCAGCAGTTGAGTCTATTGCTGAACGTTACAATACAGTAACAAAATCTAGGCCATCTCTACAATACTGCAGCCTCTGGCTGCTAATTACACGTACCTGCCTAATAAAAATAGATAAACTTATACTAATTGCTAGATGCTCCTGTCACAAGACGAAGATGGAGCTTTTTCTTGGCGTTTTCACTGAGTGTACAGTGCCTTACTCACAGCAGCCGTATTCATATTCATGCAAGCTACTTCACCACTCTTTGTAGGTCTGTAAACTGATCAGCATTGCCTGAAGTGCATTTTAAAATTAATCCAAACGTATTTCATTTTACAAATTTGTTGTGAACATTTTGTTGCCAGTATTTGACACGCAAAATTCAAATACACTTGATTAAGTGCCAATTAGTCAAGTGTGTTCCCTGGTGCGGTCGCTATTCACTGATTAGCTGAGCCCACAAGCACAGACTACAGCACATCACAAAGTTCAGCGCACAGATATCGTCAGTCAAAATTTTGCAAGGGCTGGGGCAGGTACCCATTAAAGATTGGGACCTATATAACAAAATGCAGGCACACATCACAGCATGATTTTGTAGTTGTAGCCAGCATACAGAGATCGGAACAGATGTGCCAAACGTCATGGAAATCAACCCCAAAAGGTACACAAATTCATCTTCCACATACATTAGCACTGTTTAACAAGGTTTCCCCAACACTGCAGAAAACAAAGGCATCCATCCATTAGAGTAAACGTTGTCCTTTTCGGCACAGATGCCCTTTTTTTTTTCTGCCTGGTTTTGTTCCCAACTATATAACCAGCCAATATGGCACATGCCTAGAACAACATTTTACAGGTGGCCCCTTATAGCGTGGTTTGTTCAACAGATAGGAGATATACACAGACTAGGGTACTGGCAGGCTTTCGAGGAGGTGGCCTCTTCCTTACCGATAGCTACAATCACTGTTTTACTAAATGTAGTGATGAGAGGAGAAGAAAAAAAAAAAAGTAAAGCATAGACAAGGAAACATCTGAAGATTTGTATTTATAATGATTACTACTCCTTTTATAAATCATCATTGAAATGCCAGTTGAAACAGAACAGTTGAAATGCCACTGGAAATTTTGAAAACATTCTGTTCGGGAATAAATCTAGCTATACAATAGAGGGGAAGCTCTGAAAGTTTAATTTGCTTTTTCAGAATTATTACCAGTAACCTGTAAATGAAAATAATCTTTTCCCCCTTAAGGGCTTAACTCCATCTTCTGCTTATTCTGCATTCTTTAGTATTTTGTTTGTGACACCAGAATCTTCACAGCAACTAAGTACCACACACAGAGGACTGAGATTTTGGGATAGCTCTGGGCTGACAGAAAGTGGCCTAGCTACTAGCTCCACTCGCTGCACTGGATACATTGATTGGTGGAAGGAAGATGTGAATTATCAAAGATCTTGAGCCTGATCCGCAGGTGCACTGCACCATTTTCGTGCTGCGGTGCTTGCCCCTGTGGAGTGGCACAAGCACTCAAGGGCAGCCCCGAACTCCTGGCACTTATAGGAACCACGGCACAAGGAGTAAGGAGGAGACGACGGCTTCTGGTTTCCGCTGTGCTGCTAACTGCTCCTTGCTGCCGTTGCCCTAAGGTGATCAGCCAGAAAAGATGGTCGTCCAGAAAAGGTCCCAGCCCTCAGCTGAGGCAGGTGGAAAGTAAGTTTGCTGATTCCCGGGAGAGAAATAAGAGCTCCCCTGGGTAAAGAAAGGCAAACGCTTCAGACTGACGCCTCACCTCAGGGAAGTTTCAAGCACCTCACTGCGTCAGGCTAAACACACTACCGAAAACCCATGAGGGGCTTTTACAAGGAGGATAGTATTCCTTTAGGCAGAAAGCCAGTCTTAGCAAAGCGTCTAAAACAGAAGATCATGCTCTTTAAGCTACCTTTGTACACTGCCCTTTGATTTCTGCTATACACATTTCAGGCATGCTGAGGCTGACTATCTGTTTTCTTTTAAATATAGCAATGAAAGGGTTTTAAATGCACGTCTAATCACTCCAGCACTGCTGCAACATGTGTGTTAAGAAATACTTTAACTCACTGTTACAATTGTGTTCTTATTTATACCCTCCTAATTCAGATGGAAATATGTTTTGCTCCCTAATTTGTTTGATTCGTTACTTGAATAAATATATTCATGTTTATAATTCATTATAGGGGGTTGATCAATGTAGGTAGGTATGAGAGAATCTAGGCTAATATGATTTTCTCTGATTTGCATAGGGAAGTCAGAGATAGAGGCAGGAGTGTATCTTAGCCTAGCGTCTGACTCAGATGATCCTCCAGGATCGACAAAGGGGGCAGAAAAGCTAATAACTAGCTTAACATACCGCCTTGTCATTTCTGACTTGTGTATTCTGGCCATAACTTGGTTCATTCAAACATATATATTAAAGGGTTTATAATATACATTAGCAGATTTAATGTGAAGTGGCCTTGAATATTTCCCTGGAAGAGATTTTGCACGTTCAAAATGGCTTTGAAATGCCAAAGTGAAGATAGACAATACTTACAAGAACAGGCAAGTTTAGACTTGGAATATTTCCTCTTTATTTAGGAAGTCACAATGCATACCGCTGTATGTGTGCTCTTTAGGAAGGAGACTTATTATGTGACATTTCAGAATGAAAAAAGGGAGAAACTGGACTGACAGTGACTGCTTTTTTTTTTTTTCTTTCCTTTTTTTTGTTTTTTCTCCCTGTGGCCAGACAAATACAAAAGAAAAATGTTACAATGAAAAATATTCCTAAAACCGTACTGTCTTTTGCAAGCTCAGCATTCAGATTCCTAGCACAAAGCACAATGTTGTGCCAGATGGGTACTGTGCTATGCCAATAGAAAATGACATAGCAGAAAAAAGTGAAAGTCCAGAATCATGCTCTGAATACCTCTAGAAGCCAGCAAAGGATTATGTTAAAACTTACCTTAGAGCAAACAAACAACCAACCTCCCCCCAAAACACACCGCACACAAAACTCAACAACCACCCCAAACTACCACTATTGTTAAGTATCCCAGCATTCATTTTTCTAGGCTGCAAAGGAGACCGTATCTTCTAGAGGCTTAATTATTCTAAGCCAAACGCCCCATCCGCAGCCCGGTTAGCGGGTGCTTCCAGCACACCCTTCTATGTTTAATTTTATTTGGATTTTGGTGTTGCTGGAAGGCAGAATGATCAACTGCAATATGACACAAAGCAAACCCTGAAGGACATCCCTGAAGAACATGTACAGAACGGAGTCATTCGGGTGCATCTCTTGATTCCAGCCATGACCTGGGTCACCTAACTGGGGTAATTTGATCATGTTGGCACCTATGTTATGTTGCTTTGTTTTCAACGCAGTGAATGCAAGGCTGTCATCCCACTGACAAAGACAAGGGCAGCACATAAACAGTTTTGAGCGTTTCCTCCCCTCACCCAGGATCTCCATTTCCATTTTGCTTCAAATCAAGTGACCCTCTT